TATTGTGTTCTTTTCAGCTTTGGCCAAAGCTGCAATTTTGCAATTGCAGCTTACCCAAATTGCTCTTTTTTAACAGTGATTTGATAACTTCTGTTTAAAGTGGTTTCTTGATCATGACAGTGAACTCACTCTTCTCCAACAGCATTCATAATCACCGACCTCAATCTATCAGAGTGCCATTAAGAGTGTGGGAACAAGAGATTCTCACCATGGATGTACAACTGACAAACCTGCAACTTTGTAAAGCCATCATGTCAATATGGAGTAGGAATGTTTCTGACACTTTGTTGAGTCCATGTCATGAAGGATTATGGCAGCCCTGATAGAAAGAAGGGAGTCCTATACCCTGGGATAGCAGGGTGCACACTGCATTTGTTCTAACACAGCTTGTAATGCAGCATTGAAATTTTAATAAAACTTCTGACACCATTAATAAGCTTAAAGGTTGATGAAATCCTAAGCTTTAGCATCATTCAGTATTCCACATCTTAGACAGAAGATATCATTTTCTTTTGTTTTATTCTGAGACAAGATGAAAGAGAGCATCAAATCTAGAGAGCCTCAAACTTCTCTTGCTCATTCATAATTTAAAATGCTCAATTTAGAACACGTCTCAGCCCTGGCCTCTTTGGTATTCATATAAGTAAGTATGAGGCAGTGTATGATTTGGGGGCAGGGTATGTGCACAAAAAACAAAAGTGCCAAAAGCTAGCTCCCAGGGATGAGCTATTCTAGGAGCAATATCTGTCAGTACCTTCAAGCAGAAGAAAGTTTGGCTTTGACACAAACAGCTGGTGGAACCTTAACATGGTGTACATTCAGACAGAGGACACAGAGACCCATTTCACTGGAAAGCAGCATTATGTAGTAAACTAAAACTGTAATATTTTAACTTTAGATCATGTGATTTGGAAAATGTTGTATTTTACGATGGACAACGTTTGTTATCTTGTTAAGAAACAATCATAGTTGGCAGGTTTCCACGCCTGCATGCCTTAACAAAACAGGAAACACATGCATTCATTTACCACCCACAGGCCACTCAATTTCATTGTTTTCAAAAGCTGAAAAAAGTATTGTTTGTCAGTGACAAGTCTTATGAATTTTCCAACTCAGTCTGTCAGACTACAAGAAGAGATTGGAGTTCCTCATCCTGCGCTATTACATCAGAAATACTGTATAACTACCTGATCGATGACGAATGGTTGAGGTTTACAATGGGCGATAAATAAGTACCACATCTGTCACATTTAGGAGGGAGCATAGTGATGAGCAAATAAAAACCCACATGTAATCAATACAAATGCACTCGGGGGCTTTCACGTTTTCCCAAATAGCCTGCAGGAGTAATCTACAATTCCATTTGTAGCTAAGAGCATCGCATTGGAATATATTGAGTGAAACCTCTGCTCCAGCGGTTGCTGCTGCAGGTAAGGAATTACCATCCGTGTTTACTGTGACTGAAGCTGGTCCTTTTAGCATGAGCATTTGAAAGCAAGAAATAAGCTTCAGGGTGCATGAACAGAAATGCCTCAAATTTCACCCTTGGACAAGATCTCACTGTTTGTTTCAATGTTAGATCACAGTGGTCATAAAAAAACAGTCACTCTGCTATATTTATCTCTTTCAATCTGTGAAGTGTTGTTTGAGGTAATTATTCCAAAATCTCATGGCCAAACCAGAAATGGAGGCAGTTTTTCTGGAAAGGAGCATTTGCGTGACTGAAAATGCCAAAGTGGTATTTACATATTTATCATGCAAACCTCATGAGAGGGGTGTGCTACACAAAATAAGAACAAAATGGCTCAACTGAAATAGACAGAGTAATACAACATTGAAAAACATCCGTCCATTCGTAAATCTGCTGCCGGTACTTTTCACATGGCTGGTTGCCCTGAGAATTGCCTTAATCCCTTTAAATGTATGTAAATTCAACAGGTTTTTGGAAATATTTTGGTCCATATTGCCATGACAGCATCACACAGTTCCTGCAAATTTGTTGCAGGAAGAGTAATCTACAATTCCTGAAATGCCTGGGCAGAGACCTATAGACTCTGCCTGTCTTTCATTGTAACATAATGAAACAATGTTACAATGTTTCATTACATTGAAACGTTGTAATGCTGGCACGTTACATTGTTGCATTTGTTGCTGTTTGTCAGCTTCAGCTAGTTGCCAACAATTAAATGTTCTCATTCTATTCATGATATCTTTGTACCTCATATCTTATAGTATTTAAAACTATTTCTGTCCTAGACAAAAATATTGGCTGAGCTTTTATTGTGACTAAGTGTACACGTTCCCTTTCATCTTATACCTGAAAACTGTCCCACAGCCTGTTTAGCTGTGTTTCTCTTCAAGACAAAGCCACCAGATCAATCTTTCAGTGTCTTTGTTGTGTCGTCTCAAAGCTCCTGACAGCTGAGGCAGGTTGACACTGAACCAGGTTCTGCAGGATGTTTCTTCATCATAAAGGGGAGTTAGTCTTCTTGCTATTGCTATGTTTTCATGAGTTTTACTACAGTCTAGTGCAGGTCAATAGGATTCTTTTGGGCTTTATTCTCAAAAGCCAGTCCTGATATGTTATTTCATGTCTAGTCAGCCTGTGCAACATCTAAATTTATTAAAATTCTTGTACTTCATACAGTGTAATAGATCAAACATCAGAAATTATGCTTTCTTGTATTTGATGTACAACTTAACTAACATCTCATCTTAAAGCTATCTCTCCTTATGCGATGTGTGATTGATCAAACATAGAAGATGTAAACCTAAACATGCTCTTAATAGAAATCAATCTAGCCTAAATAAATAAATTCAGCCTTACACTTACATCACCAGGGATTTTCTAGAAACAACAGAATCATTTGAGTGTTTTGTGAGATTGTAAAATACCTCCAGTGTTTTAGACCCCTGAGCACCTCCTCAACAGTCCGGGTCAGCTGAACTAATCCCACACCCTGGATAATAAAGAGAGGACAGAGCATGATTGCCTCCCAGTTCTCATCTTAGCTCAATGAGCTGTGAGGCCATGCAGAGTTTACAGTGGAAATTTTCATGCTTTTTTATTTATTTATTTCTCAAACACTAAGTGCTCAAACAGCCCAAGGATGGGTAATTGCTTGTGCTGTTATGGCTTTATACATATTAATATCCAGATGGATGGATATTTGTAAGACATATCTGAATTTGTATTCCCTTCATCGGGATGAGGATCCACTAATTCAGTTCAGATGAATCTACAGTGGGAATGAAAACATGTGATCAGGATGTTAATGACAGGGAAACATGGGTGTTGTTGATGTTTGCCTGGATGGACCAAGATTTATAGAATAAGGTTCTTAGGGCAGATGAGATTAAAATAGAACTGTCTGGCAATATGCACACCATGCAGCATATCAGCATAAAGTCACACCCACTATCCAGCATAAGAATGGAGGTTTCTCATTTACCTTTTGAAGGCATGTGTCTCCCACATAAAAAGTTCTGTTTTCATTGAATAATTGAAGAATATAAAATTCTATTTTCATTCCGAATCATAACGCATAGTTTATAATCGTGATGCGTACTATCAATTTTACAACAAGCAATAAAATAAAATAAAATAATGAAATGAATTATGTCACCTTGAAATATTATTTTAAGGGTTCACTCAACTGTTTTTGTTTCACAGTTTGTAACTGTGCTACCTGTCATGCAGAAAACAATTACACGTGTTTTCCAACCACAATTTCCTTCATTAATAAGCAATTACATTACACGCTCATTCCCTACTGGCAGATTTATTGTGATTGCGTGGAGCTTTATGCAGATGTTGACACAGAGTTAATTGCTCCAGCGTTGCAAATCACCTTCTGTGGTCCTCCAAGATAATTAAAATCTGTGTCATGTTTCAGAGCCAGTGGCGTTATAGACTTATTTTACCAGCTGGGAATCTTGGTGCATTGCCTGGGGGGGTAAACTTCACAACCTAATTTAAGTTCTATAAATCTGCTCCATGAAGAAACAACATTATCACATTATTCTATTGTGGCCCTGCTGTTTTTATTGCAGCAAGCTTTTACCTTTTTTTTCCTCCAAAGTATCTGTTTATCCAAGGCAGAATGGTTGTGTTCGGAACTTCCCTCATGGGAAGTCAAACAAGCTGAGCTTCCCATGAGGGCCGTCCTGAAGCAAATTTCAGGACTCCTGAAGTTCAAGTGAGTTTAGATACTAACACAACTAAACTATAGCTAAACTCTGACTAGCATCTCTGATGCCTGTAGAGAAAATAGCATGCAGCATGATACTGCCACCATGTTTCAGTCATGAGGAAGTTCAGGGTGACACTGTCTAGAGTTTTTTCGCAAAAGTTAATTTTATTTCAGGGTGCATGAAAGAAACAGTCTGGAATGGGATTTATTTAGGGCTATTTTACTAATGCCACACTTTTCATATCCTTGTAAAAAATAAATAAATAAATAAATAAAAAATAGAACTGTTTCATTTTAATTCCACCTGACAAGTAACTACTTTGTGATTGTTCATTATATAAAATTCTTAAGTAAATACTTTTAATTTGTGGTTGTCACGTGACAGAGTAGAAAAAAGTTAAAGAATTTCAAACAGTACGTATTTATTTATTTATTTATTTATTTTTTGAGTTGACTGGAGCAAAAACAAATGAGTGTTGCACCCAAAAACAGAACACCAAGTTAGGGTTCTCAGGGGGATTAATAATCTGATTATAACTTCATGAATGGAATTTTCATGTTCATCTGCAACAATCGGTTTCAAAGAGGAATCAGATCTGTTGCAGAAATATAACACCCTTTTCCCTTTTGAAACAAACATCTAAATGAAGGAAGCAAATGCATGTGCACTTTGTTTTCGGGCTATATTTTTATTACGATCATGATAATGATGATGATTATTGGGGAAAGACGAATGAGAGCAGATGTCGCTGGGAGTGGAGGGGGTGGGCGTGGAAGTGGGGAGGGAGAGATTTAGACGGAAAAGAAGAAACCGCTGGCTGTGACAACGACCGTCGCTTCCTCCCCCCTACATCATCATCATCTTCATCATCATCATCGCCACCATCATCACCCGCCTCACCAGCAACAGCAGCTTCAGATTCATCGGCGGCAGAAGCGAAGGCAGAGTTGGTTAAACAGTTTGGAGAGGAGGAAGAAGAAGAAGACAAAAAGAAAGAAAACAAATGGTCTTGCAGACGTCTTGAAGAGGAGCTCCGCTTCACGGGGAGGGAACATGGGTGAATGGGAGCTGCAGATGGACGAGTGCAAGGATGAGGAATTCCGACCAAATCTGCTTTTATGACACAGACCTCTGCTTCATCCAACATCATTAGGAATTCATTAAAGAACACCAGGTAAGATGCTTTTTTTTTAAATAACGTTTTCTTACTCAAAAAACGAAAAAAAAAGAAAAAAGAAAACGGTTTTGATGCAAACGACTGTCAGAAAAGACATGGATTAGAGATCCCTTAAAATTATATCATTATTAATATGGTGCTCGTGAATTAGAAGAATTGCTCTTATTTTTATCCTGCAATTTGTGAGGAGAAGCGATTTTGAAAACAAAACAAAACAAACAAAACACTAATTGCAGCGTTTCGGATACAGACGCCTTTTAATTTAGACGCCTTGTTATCGTGTCATTTCTCCAACTTCCGTTTTTCATCAATTTGTATTTTCATTTTAATCTTAATGAAAGAGGACCAACCACATAACAGTCAGAAGTATCTTTCTGCCCCCTTGTGGTTTGGACTCATGCTGTTTTTTTAATGTGTTTCTAAAATTAGGGCTAGACTGACTGCAAAATATGGGTGGGGGAAATAAAAATATGTAAAATAAACTTAACTTAAAATATAAATCACTGACTCATCTGACTCCAGGATGCAAAATCTGATGAGTAAAGAATCAAACTAATTTTCCAGATGACTGTTCCTGTGTCCATTCTACAGAGCGTATTCAGATGTGGCTTAATTATGGTGTGCCTCTCCATTCATCTCATACATGGCCCACATTTATGCATCAGCCCCCTCTGTGGATTCCTTGTTATGTAATCTCATTCCCATCAGACTGCATCAGCCTCAGAGTCTTTGCTGTTTGGCTTCTGTGAGCACAAATGTCTATCTTATTGTGTTTTAATGTGATAGACCAACACAAAGTAGTGCATAGATGAGACAATGAATACATGGTTGTCAATGAAAACAAAATCAAAAATGGGAAAGTTCGTTAAAGAACAGTTCTGAGCAAAAATGATCAAGACCAAATATTACAGCAGACAGGTCAGAGATAAAAATGTGTGCTCTAAACATGTCTTGAAAACACAGTTCAGTTCATCAGATAAAAAAATGAAAAGAGTATAGCAGAATCGTAAACCTAAATAATGGCCTAGAGGCCTAAATTATAATTGTGGAGGATTGGCAGAAATCCACCACTCAGGTGAGGAAGTCTGTTGACAGGGTAACTATTAAAAGCTGAATTTGTCCTTGATGAAAGAGTAGCAAAAAGAAAATCCCTATTTGTAGTTTGCCACAAGCTATGTGGAGGACACAGCAAATGTGAAAAAATGTGACCTGGTTGTACTGACCAAAATGAAATTCTATGTTTTGCTGAAAACATAGTATTGCACATTCCTCTGAATGCACCATGCCTACAGCAAAATATAATAATGGCACCATTTTTGCTAAAAGAATGTTTTTGTTACTTATTGTCTCTAATGGGGATCAGAGTTGATAAGAAGATGAATGGAGGTACATACAGAATGAAGACTAGAAAACACTCAAGACAGGAGTGAAGGTTTGCCTTTCAAGAGGACAACAACCCCAAACTTAAAACCAGAGTCACAATAGAATGATTTATATAAAAGTATGTACATGGGTTAGACCAGTCCAGTGAAAGTCTGGATCTCGTCACAGATCAGAATCTGTGGCAAGAGTTAAAAATGGATGTTTGCTTATGCTTTACCCAATCTGAGTCAACATTCAAAGAAGAATGGACACAACCTTCTGCAAATCTGGTAGACATATTCCCCCAAAGACCTCCTGCTGTAATTAGAGTGAAAGATAGCTCCACAATCATATCTGAGAGGATATGAGATACAGATACATTCCACAGTTTTCATTTTACTGTGAAATACAATTAAAAACTATCTATCATTTTCCTTGCACTCCTCCTTTATGCATCAGTTTCTATTGGCGTAGTGAGTAAAACCACAATATAATGCTTAGGTTAATGGTTATAATTTGAGAAAATGTGAAAAAGTTCCAGGGTTATGAATATTTATGCAAGAGCCTAAATGTGTCTGTGTAATTTTATATGATCATTTTTACTTCTCTGTTTTCCAGATAACACTGTTAAATACCTCACACATCATGGATGCAGCTTCAGCCTCCCTGCAGTTTGGATCAAAGAAGCGGGTCAAAATTCACCCAAACACAGTCACAGTAAAGTATGCCACCCACTTCCCCCAGCCTGGTGACGAAGGGTACGACGATGCACCCTCTTTTGAGGATTTTGGTTCTTTTGCAGAGGCAAATGTTGGAAAGAGACTGGTGTCTGATGCCAAAGGCAGCAGGACTTTCTTTGGAACCATGGAGACTCAGCCTAAGCAGCCAAGTGTGCAAAGAGACAAGGGGGTCGAGGGTCAGCTGGCCAGCTTTGGCGAGGCTAATGTGTTGGCCTCCAGAGTGACCTGGATGGCCTTGTTTGGGGCAGCAGCAGCTCACGGATGTGTGGCGCTAATTACCCGATTGGCAGCAGATCGCTCTAAGGTTCCCTCTCTCGAGCTGCTCTTCATCCGTTCTGTGATCCAAGTGTTGTCAATCCTAGTGGTCCTCTACTACCATGAGGCACCCTTTGGCCCCAAGGGTTACCGGCTCCGTCTCTTCTTCTATGGTGTGTGCAATGTAATTTCTATCACCTGCGCCTACACATCCTTTGCCATTGTACCCCCCAGCAACGGTACCATCATGTGGAGAGCATCCACCACTGTCTTCAGTGCCATACTGGCTTTCCTGCTCCTGGATGAGAGGCTGAGCTACACTGATGTGGTCACGGTGGTGGGAAGTGTGTTTGGCCTGTGTCTAGTCATGGTGCCTAATGTAGCTGATGAGGAGAAGTCCAGGCTAGGGTTTTGGAAGGAGGCATTTGGCTATACAATGACAGTTATGGCAGGCTTGACCGCCGCCCTCTCCATGATTGTCTACAGAGCCATCAAGGAGCGCGTCACCATGTGGACTGCACTCTTTACCTTCGGCTGGACAGGCACTGTCTGGGGCGCCTCCACTATGTTCATAATGCAGGAGCCTATTATTCCCCTGGATGGGGAGACCTGGGGCTATTTAATTGGGATCTGTATCTGCTCCACGGTAGCGTTCCTTGGAGTCTACTATGCTCTAAACAAGTTTCATCCAGCCTTAGTTAGCACCGTACAGCACCTAGAGATCGTGGTTTCAATGTTTTTGCAGCTGATCGTGCTGAGGATGATCCCCTCAGTGTACGATGTCATCGGAGGCCTTGTCATCATGGTCAGCGTGTTCACTTTGACCGGGATCAAGCTGTACAGAGTCAGCAGGGCCATTCGGCAGGATTACCAAGAAATCCTGGACTCGCCTATCAAATGAATCTGTCAGTCCATCCGTTTACAGTGTTGCTTGGTTGTGCAATCAAAAGAATGTCTGAATCTTCATCTGATGATTTTGTATTGTTGTGCTGTGAACAGAGTGCCAGTTTGTGTAACTAAAGTGTTAATATTTATGTGTGAAATAAAAGACAATTGTAATATTGTGACCATTTCCCTTTCGTATAGTGATGCTTTAATGTCGAATCGTGCCACAGACTAAAATGTCAGCAAAACGAGGCACAAGTGAATTATGACACCACAAGGTGTTAATATAATCTTCTGTTGTCACACTGCCAAAACTGTGTAAATGTCAGCCCTGGAACCATTCATATTGTAACAAGGAATAAAAAAAGAAAAAAAGAAAATGCTTCACTGAAAGACTTGATTTGTTGTTAGAGATATCTAACATATCTGTAATGTTTTCCTTTAAAAGCCAAAATAACAAAAGAATAGATGGTTCTTACAAACTTTCCATTTCAAAAATCCATATGCTCCAACTTTAAATTCTCTCTAGATTGTTTATAGTTAGATAACATTTGGAACAAAAGTGCAAAATATTCTACAAATTTTCAACTCACCAAGTTATTAAAGAGCTACTTTTCTGTTTTGTTTTGGCATATGGACTTACTTAGGCAACTCTATCTAAACTCTAATAACGCATTTATTACAGATTCATTAAAGTACAGTGACAACTTAATTGTGCTTGTGAAAATAAAAAGTGAATGTCAAATCATGGGATGCAGTAGCCTAAAAAGCAGTGAAAAATAATTATGTTTTACCTCAAAATATGAATACTCAATTTTTTTGTATACGTTCAAACAATCCAAATTCAACACTTTTCAGAACTCCACAGAAACTATGTAAAATTGGTTTACATAAATATTTTTCAGAATTACATTAGATTCATTAAGGCAAATCCAAAAATAGGAGAGAAAAACCCAAACTAGAATAAATGACTAGAGCAATTTATTCTGTTCAAACTACATCTCCAACCCCATTAGCCAGTTTATATTTGACAAACGTGATTTTCTTTCTGACTGTGGCTTCTGTTTACTCTCAGATGTATGTCAAACTAATGCCCAGAGGCAAGTGCACCGAATTGAATTAAAGTCCCCCTTGAACAATGCTGGTCCTTCTGCTGTTTCTTTTTCTGTATCAGTTAAGTCAGCAGCTCACCGGGTACGTCTCCTCGTTCTCCTCCTCGTCCTTTTTTTTTTTTTAGTCTTTTCAGGAAACCGAGCAAAGATAAACAGTCTCTTAGATGTCGCCTTGAGGGTCAAAAGGAACTGCCGAGGAACAAAATAGAGACACAATGGTGATGGGAAAAAAAAAATACTTGCCATGAACGAGGACACATTGCTGATTCAGAACTGACGTGCTTCACCAACAACCCAGCAGGTGGCATTCATGACCTACTTAATGTTTCTGACAGCCAGGAGTGAAAGAAGAAAAGCTGAAATCAATGGTGCAACCAAGGCGAGCCATGTGTATTTACTTGACTTGACAGTCTGACATGCATGTTATGTTTTATGACTCAATTTAATATTCTTAGAATTTTTATTTATTGCTTTTGATCATCCAATTCTACACAACACTATTCTTAAATTCCTGAAATCCTCTATAATGGCTTAAGTTTTTGTTTACCCAACAAATATTATGTCAGCTTTTGGAAGTGCCCCTACCTAAATTGTTTTCATACTGAAGGATAAAGCTTGTTGGTGTTACTTCCATTTCCTTTATGTCAGGAAGAGATAGCATTTTGATCACAGCAATTGTACAAATTACACATCACATTTCATCTTTTTATTCATTCAGCAGAAGCAGTCATGTTGTGACATATGCACTCTGTATTACAAAGGTGACTGTTATAAATGAGACTCAATTTAATGTTGGACACATCTGCAAAGAATCACTGTCATTTTAAATAAAAAAAGATAAGCATAAATCCTGTTTGATTTCAATTAAAACTAGAACAACCAGCATTTATTTACTTGCTTTTTGCAATAAATATTATCATGACCCATAGCTTTGTAAACCCAACTCAACTGAAAATCCTGCTTGACAATTCACGTTGAGTACTTTTGAGACTGGCTTTTGGGTGCAGAACGAAGAAGACACGTAGAGGAGGCCCATCTGTTAGAGCAGGAAACAGATTGCATCCTGCAGCGAGCTGCACAACCTTCCAAATCACTCTGCAACTCTCTTAACCACAGACACATTTATAAGATGCATTATGACTGAACGGAATATGATTATGTTATTTCTGTATGCATATTTGTATTATTATGGAAATTTGTAGTGGATGACTACTGAGCATTTTTGTGAAACGTGGATACCTTGAAACACATCACTCTGCGTTGGAACCCTTGGTAAAGACTTGTGAAAGCGCAAACAAAAGCATTAAGAAATTAATGTGTTTTGCAAAATTGCTGGCGGCACAATTGTTGATAGTTCTGATTTCTCTGTACAGCATTCTTGGCAGAGCAACAGTTTTTACACTTTTGCTATAATATTTCACAAGTTTGGAGCATACAGAGAAAGGATTTTCTGACAGTTCTTCTTCTCACAAACTTTCTGCAAAGGCGTGCCAAACATTGTGAAATTGGAAGTGTTTGCTGGCCACAACTCAAAAAAGAGAAAAGATTCTGTAAATGATTGTAGATCTGCAAAACATAAGAGTCTTACATGTTTGCCTTCATAAAAGAGGCCAACAATTTCCGAGTTGCTGAACCAACCTTGCAAGAAAATCATAAATGCCAAGCTGAAGACTTTGTGTTGTGTCTCTGATCGAGAAACTTTGTATTTTCTTATTCCATCTTCTTTCTCTTCAGTTCACTCCAAATGTTTCATATAGGATCTAGTTTTGTGAACTTACGTAACCACTGAAGAATTTTGGTTTGGCTCATGTGAATAATTTCTGTGTTCATTTGGTGATAAACCCTCTTTAGTCTTTTGTAAAATATTGTCATTGTCGTTATTCAATGTTTTTAAACACTGAATGCTTATTTTATTTAAGCAGTAAATGAAATTTAAACAAATTAGGCAGATAATACTACATAAAAAATAATTTTCAGTCCTTATGAAGTTGACAGAGGATAGTCTTATGCTGCTATGGTTGTTTTTCCCTTTGAAGGCAAAATTAAGGAGGACGTTCTATGGGAATGTAGAACATTAACAGCTGCAGTCGCATTGATTGGCAGCGAGATCGTCCATTCAGAACCCAGTCTGTCCTCCAGCAGCCAATCACAGAGGAGCAGCAGAGAGCCGAGTGGGTTTCCAAATGCTGTGTAGCTGTTTCAGCTAGTTAGCCAGCCTAGCTGCTGCTGAGCTCTGACACGGTCTGATGCAGAAATGCTTTTCCAACGGGGCGCTGCGTCTCGTCAGCTAGGCTAGCTTCTCGGACTAGGAAAGAAAATATTTGGCCGCTGGCTTGCGAGGACTGTGGACATCCACTGCGAGCATCTTCTTCGAGACGCCTCCATCAGTACAATATATTTAAAAGGAGATAAGAAGAGGTGGCCGTCAGCAGTCAGGTAAGACGTGGCATGACTGAAGAGGGAATGTGCCAGGCTGCCTTCTGCTGCAGCCGCACTCCTCTTCTGCTCCCCCTCTGTTTAACGGTTAAACCCACATAGGCTAGCAGCTAAAAGGCAACCGAGAAAGCCAACACAGAGAAAGCCAAGCTTTCTGCTGTGTCGCATAGCCAGCTTGGTCCAACATACAGTCCGCAGAGGGGTTAACATTGATTTCGACTCTAAAACGAGATGTTAGTGTTTGCTGAATTTTCACAGATGGATCAACCAAGTTGGGTGGCTCCACACTGAAAAGCTCAACTTGACATAAAAGGCAAACATTTGAGTGCAACAAATCCTGGTCCTACATCAAATCTGCCTTGTTTCAGCATAGTTATGCTCACTGACTGAGACTGAAAATGAAGGAGATGCTCTTGTTAGTAAGCACAGTGGCTCTTTTTTTGTTTGTACCGTTATTATGAAGTAGGCAGGTTTGAAAGATTTTCAAAATATTTTTCATAAAACACGGTTTCTGCTTCATCAGATGGATGTTTTGGAGATTGGAAAAAAAGCAAGTTTCCATGATAATTACAGATGACAAATGGAATCATAAAACACATGGATGGACTAAGCATCTTCTCAAGCATAAATCACTTCATATTTTATACTATGCTATTTTTTTTAACCGTATTTACACTTGAGTGGTGAAGTATAGGGAGATATTTGGGGATCTAATCTAATATTACAGCCTCCTAAGATACTCTTTACATTGGTTACATAAATTACACAAATGATCTTTTCGTTAATTGAATAAAAATCATTTTCTTGAATTATCTTTTGAGATGTGGAGATTTGATGCTTTTACAAACTGTAATAATAAGCTATCTTTCTGACAAAGGGGAATCGTGTGTTGCAGTAATGAAGTACACATTTTTCTTTTTATTATCACAACTATCCAACTATTTCCCATACACAATGCAACTGATAAAATGTGTATATAAAGTCCATTTATCTGGCCACATTTATTAATGCCATAGAAAGTAAATACATGGTACTTGAGATACAGTCGCCTCCTAAATATTGCATCTAAACAGTTTTGTGTGATTTGAGATAATGCACACATTAATACTGTAATGATGACAGTGATCTGATATATTGTGTAACTCTAATTAATAGGTATATGTAAATGTAATGCACATATCAGTACATGTGTATTAAATGTGTCCTCCTATTTCCTTTGGGACAATTTAGTTTGTAGATTTCTTTACACTGTAATGTATTTGATCCACGTGCTTGGGATAAAACTTTCAGTCAGTGAATTGCATGTTTACACAAAAACTTCCAACATGTTTTTGTCTCATTTTACAGTCAATTGAATGATCATCATGACCTCAAGATGATTATCTGGAGGCCATGATGTCAGTAAAGAGTATGTATCATAGTTTTCCTAGAAGCCAAGATGATTTCCCCAAATTTTATGTTTGGACTGATCTGAAATGTAGACCCAACAAAACTGCCACCTTCAGTGGTGTTATTATGATGAAATTATCTAATGGAGTTGCTGGCATCATCACTGAGGAATTGTTTTTACTTTAAACAGGTCTGAAGTTGAAAGCAGGTCACTATACTGCCACACTTACCATGTGAAACCTTCAACTGGAGGCCTAATGCAGCTAGTTTGTATTTTAGAAGCTCTGTGTTTTTCATGCAACGTTGTTCCTGCATTTATTAATCTATGACGGACTAAATGTCATGCCTCAGCCACACAATGGATGAAATGAGTGCGTTTCTGGCAAAATTTTCCCACTTGTGTTTTTATGACCTTTTAAATAAATTGCACAGCAACACAAGCCTTATCAACACGTCATAAGGACCAAGTTACACATTCTCTCTGTGGATATTGCCATTTGTCAGTGTATTTCTGTTGTTATTGGACAGTATCTCCCTTCTCACAGGTTGTATGCTATGACTTGTAAAAATGTTGGGTAGAATAATCTACCTGTAGCTTAAGATAAGGCTCAGCAATTTGCACTGCGTTATGTCTATTGTACGCAGGATCCCAACCACTGTGGGACCCCAATATAGTGAACCCTTGTTTTTTTACGGGGGTTGCGTTCCGAAAAGAACTTGATAGGCGAAATCTGTGAAGTACTTACCTTCATTTTTTACAATTATTATTAAGCATAATTAAATACTCTACATTGAAACCAAAGAACAAAACCTGTTTTCAGGCCCAAACATTTTTGTTACAAATAACTACAGTAAAATAATCATTTAAATGATCAATACGAAGTACAGCAGGACAAATTGTGACTCGTATTTCACTGTGCCTCTTACTATGATGCTGTGGCCTGACTCCGCTCTGTCCTGTCTTCTTCTTTTGAAGCCTGTGGTGCAGGTGTGTTTTTTTCAAGAGATGAACATAGTTATAGGTAGTTGTAGTCTTTTTTTTTTCTTCTGGGCAAAAATATTTCTCTACCTGTGTGTTATTGGCACACTGGTAGAGAAGAAGAGCGGAAACTGTTTCACCAATCAGTACGCAGAACGCAAAGCACTGTGGGGAAAAAAACTGCACAAAAAAGTCTGCAAGGCTGTGAAAAGTGAACCGCGTTATAGCAAGGGTTCACTGTAATAAAATGTGCTAAAAGGCCATAGAAAAAAAATAAAACACCTTTTATCGCAGTGTTATAATCTCAGACTGAAAATTTTATGTATCAAATGTAGAAAAAGATAAATTTGAACAATATTACTTTTGCTAAAAAATATTTCAGTTTGTCTCAGATCTTGTAATGTGGTGCCATCCAAGTAGAGTGTGAAATTCAATCTTGGCCAAGAAAGAAGATTTATTGGTTTCTGGGCAATTCCTATAAAAATTAGACCATATGGATCTAGTGACATTCCATGTTTAGGTATTTCGGATTGTCCAACAGATAATCTAAAACCTCCTGGCTTTCTAAAAGTCTCTACTGTCTACAGTACACTCACAAGGTTTGCAGGGGTTTTGTAAGAATAACAAATCCCTATTACAGATCCGCCACTGTACTTAGAAGTAGGGATATTAATCTTTTTCTTAATAGACCAACATGTAATATTTATTTGTTGGTCTTAGGCTTTCTGATCAAAGTCAAATTTCCTGAATGCATTTATGTTTACATTTGAGATGGAAGGGCAGAACATGTTTCCCTGCTATACAAGATTTCTTTGTAAGGTTTCTAATGCAACGATTTTAAAAGCCGAGAGTGTCTAGTAACACCTTTCAGTGCTACAGTTCCATAGATTATGCAATAAATGCCATTATACATTAATTATCTTACCATAAGTACACTGTTCAGTCAGCAGCAGAAAGCTTGAGTCCTCCAGCCCATGACTTGAAAATTCACAGACGTAAATACACAGGAGCAGATTCTGATAAATTTCTTTTATGAGTTATGACAAGTGACTAAACGCAGTTGTGACTGCAGTAGAACTACCATGGTACTGACTGCCATCTACACGCTATGTGTTTAAGCGCAATAGTGGATTAGTGCAGAACTGTGATTTGTCTCTACATCAGGAGTGGCCTGTGCTTGCTTTTGTTGTCTTCAGCTGCCTTTGAGGGCGTACATGTGATAGATTTGAACTAGTTCCCTTTCGTTTTTTTTTTGTTTTGTTTTTTTATCATTATCTTTTATGCCTGAAGGCACTCGTTTTATTTTCATATTTGGATTCCAAAAATAGCCATGGGGCAACTTGTTTGGAAAACTTGCACCTGTCAGCTGTCAGTTTTTGTGCACAATTGAGGTTTCACAGTTAAGAGGCTACAGACATTTGTACTGGCATTGGCGGTGGCATTGTGTAATTAGATGTCCTGTTGAATCACTCGTTTTGTAATTGTTGCCTTTCATGACTGAAAATAACAACAACATACATGGAGGATGATGATCTCAGTGGCCTGAAGCGGCCAAGTCTTGAGAGGAAAAGTGCTAACTGTGCATTTCAATAAAAGCCAGAAATGTGATGTGGCTCAAAAATTTTCCTCTTTAAATTCTTGTTGAGGGGAATTGTTCCATGCGGTGAAATGGGGATTGTGTTCAATCCACAGTCTAAGTTGTTGCAAAAGTTGTCTTCCATTTCCTCTTTTTCTTTTGTGATCTTTTTTTTTTCATCTTTTATGACTGCCCATGCATGTTGACTTGCTAATTGTGATGATTTTCCACTTACAGCTAATGAAAACACATCTAAGAATATTATGTCAGACCAACAAGATATTTTTAGTACAGAAATTGGGGCTTAATAAAAAGTAAGTTTAATCTCTACTTAAAGGTTATACTTCTAATGCCAGAAACAAGCTTTGTTGGAATGCATATTCTAATTTATTTAATGTGACGTTTTATCATCCCTTTGCACTAATTAGTGTCTCAGCCTGGAGACCTGATGTAAGATAAACAACAAATTAAGAAGGTTTATGGCACCCAGAGTTTTTGACTCTGGGTCAAAAACAATTCAGCAGACTGAAAATCATCAGCAGAGAGATTAGGGACTCACCAATATGACATCCAACTTTTAATTCTGCTGTGTGGACCTATAACTACCAATGTTATATGTATATTAGATATATTTCTTCACACTATTAACACTTTGTAAAAGCAACCACAGCATTTATGTTGCATCTCTGCTGAAGTTAAACGCCCCGCAATCCTGTGCTGCATCACCATCACTGTCACATGACTGAACAATTACCACATTGCCAGTCCCCTTCCTCTCTTGAAATGCATGCAAACAACAAGATGAAAATGAACATTGTTTGTTAATATCAACTCAGTTTTACTCATTGAAATAACATAGATAAGTTAAGAAAATGCCTACCATTGGCCGCTTTTGATGTCGATGCCGATACATACCTTCCAAAACTGGTACTACTGAACTGTAACATTGAACCCAGAGGGTGAAAATACAAGAGAAACAAGATTGGACCCAGAACAAAGCCTTGAGGTACTCTACCTCAGTTCAGTGGAATCTTCCATAAGCTGATTGGCATAAACACCAAAGCTTCTGCTTCTATTAAGCACATAATTAAAATCAACAGTGTTAAAGATAAAAGCTCTAATCAAAACAAAAATGAGTATTCCCCTGAGTCTGCTGACATCATCTTACTAGAATTTTTGAGTGTTTTCCATAGAATGCTTTTTAAGTAAACCTAATTGAAATTTAAAAAAAAAACATTCTGATTATTCATAATAGTCATGACTTTATCTGCTACCACATTTTCTAGCATTTTGATTTGAGTTTGAATTTAGAAATTGACCTGTAACTCTGAGGTAAAGTTGCATCTTGACTAAGGTATAGTTCAACTAATGTGCTACCGTGCTTTGAAAAAGATTACATTTCTCAGATGAAATTGATTTATTAAAGAGACAATGGACTCAAATGTTTTTTTTTTTTTTTTTTTTACAAAGCATAGTGTTATTAGGGCAAGATGAGGGTCTTATTGTGTTGAGCAAATCAGAGACATCATGTAAGGTCACAAGACAGAAAGAGAACCAAGTATGTGAAGGAGACAAGTCAAAAGAGGGAACATGAAAAGATGACTGTTGAATTACCCAAAGAAAAAATAATACAATTCTTTACCTTTGGCTTTGGACTAAACTAGGGATTGTACGGTTGCTGATAAAACAATTGAGCGGATAGTGTCAAACAAAATTTTAGGGTTTGTCATGCAGATGATAAGTTCTTAACTCTTGTGTCTTTTCTCCAGAAGAGGAAGCCAACGCTATTTGTTTCGAAACAGTATTGTTGTAAATGAGATGTGAAATGAATTTAAAAGCACTTGCTGGCTAATCATGTAAAAAAAAAGAAAAGAAAAAAAAGTCTTTTTTCTCATCTCATGACAAAGTTCTGCCTCTGAGTTTGTGAGCTGCAGACTCCTTAGAATTATCTGGATTGTTTCTAATGTAGCTACTTTCTCACCACTACTATAAGATATAACATCATGTTGCCAGAACATCCCAGTGAGTAGCTCTTGATTTTCCTCCTTAAATGTATTTGTCATGTCCTCAACCTCCAACGCCTTGCCGGAGTCGACACTCAGCTAAACTCCTCTCCAAAGGAATCACACAGACTGGAGCGTTTGCGTTGAGTCTTTAATGAAGCCAGTTGGAGTAGGTATAAAACTATGAAATAAATATACAAACTTTGAATAATACACAGCAGCGCCAATACAGCACTCACAAGTACACTCGGTCGCCACAACGAATATTACATAAATCTTATACGTACCGACAGTGCTTTCTAGGACCAATTGTATAACAGTAGCCGTGTTACTGCGAAAACCCATGCGTTGCGTTGTCCTGACCTGTCGGCTTTCTAATGACATCATTAACGCTCGACTCTTAAAGTGATGTACATAAATTTCACCACTAGATGGCGACATTGAACGCTTAAATCTTATAACTTGTAGAATGTCAACTGACATAACATCACACTCCCCGTCTGAAACTACGAAGTTTCACATAACACAAAAATGCACAACCTTTACACTTGCGAAGCAATAAGCAAAACCACATCACATGCGGGTCTTAAGAACAGCTTAATACCATCTACCTTCGGTACTTTAATTTGAACTTTCCGAACAAGTCCATCTTTACTGGGGAACACCTCAGTAATGATGCCCATAGGCCAGACATTACGTTTCACCGCATTGTCTCTTAGGAGCACAACATCTCCTGGTTTCAAACTTCTGTGCTCAGATGTCCACTTCTTGCGAGGTTGCAGAGTAGATAAATACTGCTTGCGCCATCTGTCCCAGAAGGTGTCAGACAGACTTTGCACCCTGCGCCATTGCTGTCGGGACAAGTCCTTGTCCTCCAAGTCTCTCACAGGAGCTGGACAAGGTCCCACTTTCTGCGTCAACAAAGTGGCAGGTGTAAGGATGAATGGATCCATAGGATCGTAGGAGACAGGAATCAACGGTCTGTTGTTGACGATAGCTGCGACCTCTGCCATGAAGGTCACGAGCACCTCGTGCGTGAGTTTGGAAGTTCCCATCTGAAGGAACATTGAGTCCAAAATGCGGCGTGTGACACCAATCATCCGTTCCCACACTCCGCCCATGTGAGAAGAATGAGGGCTGTTGAAGGTCCAAGTGCAGTCGTGATCTGAAAGAAATCCTGCACAGATGTTTCATCAATATTTGAGGGAATTCCTAGGACTTTTGAAGCCCCGATAAAGTTAGTTCCCCTGTCAGAGCGGATGTGCTTCACTGGTCCTCTGATGGCCAGGAATCTTCTCAATCCGTTTATGAAACTGGAGGTATCCAAGGATTCAATGACCTCGATATGGATAGCTCTGACACTTAAACATGTGAACAAAATAGCCCACCTCTTGCTCTCCGCATGACCTCCTCTTGTCCGTCGGGCAGATACAGACCATGGACCAAAGACATCTAGGCCGATATTAGAGAACGGTGGTTCCGTGCTGAGTCTGTCAGCCGGGAGATCTGCCATCTTTTGAACTTCACACTTTCCTCTGAGCCTTTTGCATGTGACACATTCAAAGATGAGTTTACTCACGCATCGTTTGCCACCCAGGATCCAAAAGCCTGCAGATCTGATAGCTCCTTCCGTGAAATGCCTCCCTTGATGTTGAGATTCTGCATGGTAGTGACGAACTATCAGGGTGGTGACATGATGACGTCCAGGTAGAATTACTGGTCTTTTCTCTGCAGATCCTAAGTTCGCTTCCTGAAGACGACCTCCGACCCTTAGAACTCCCTTGCAGTCAATGAAAGGATCCAACGACCACAACAGGCTGCTCTTTGGAATGCATTGATTAGCAGCAATCAATTCCAGCTCTGCTCCAAAGACTTCCTGCTGAACAGATCTGAGAATTATTGTAGTACTGTCTTTGAGAATGTCCACTGACAAGTGTGGTGAGCACAAATGCCAGCCTTTACACTCCATTGAAAGGTCGTCTCGTCTCTTTTTGAAGCACTGAGTGATGTGAATCAATCCTCCAACTGTTCTAACAACTGTTCTCCAACAAGAGAATCGCTCAAAACGATGAGAGCCGAGATGCTGAGACACTACTGTTGTTAGAGTTGTCACTTTCTTTAGGTCTGGATCGTATTCTGGATCCAAAAGCTCATATGTTTGCTCTACAACTGATGAGACTTCATGTTTGGATAGAAGGGCTGGACCAGTGAACCATATTGTGTTCTCAACAGTTCTGCTGGAACAGGTCGTGTAGCAATGTCTGCAGGGTTGTGCTCTGTGTGCACATATTGCCATTGCTGAGGCCGTGTGCTGCGTCTGATTCTCTGGACACGGTTGTGAACAAATACATGAAATCTTCTTTTTTCATTGTAAATGTACCCCAGGACAACTTTACTGTCTGTGTAAAAGGTAACTGATGTGAACTGAATGTCAATTTCTGAGACAATAACCTCATACAAATGCACTGCCATGACTGCGGCACAAAGCTCTAGTCTAGGTATGGTATAGCCAGCCTTGGTGCAAGTCTGACTTTACTTGCTATCAAGCCAGTGTGACATTTTCCATGCCCATCCACAGTCTTTAAATATGCAACTGCTGCCACTGCTCTTTCAGAGGCGTCTGAGAAACACACAAAGTTCTTTGTGCTTTGCAGCAGATGGTGGTACATGTGTGTAAGATCTAGGGATCTTAAAATGCTGCAACTCTTTAAGAGTGCTTCTCCAACGCTCCCACTGCTTCTCCTTCTCTGGAGGAAGAGGCGCATCCCAGTCTGGGGAGTCTGTGGTGAGTTCTCGAAGAAGTGCTTTGCCCTGAATGGTGATTGGAGACACCAATCCAAGTGGGTTGTACAAACTATTTACAGTGGAGAGGACTCCACGCCGAGTGAATGCTTTTCTCTCCTCCTGAACTTGGTAAGTGAAACTGTCTGAATCCAAGTCCCACAGCAATCCTAAACTGCGCTGCATAGGCAGGTTGCCTGAATCTAGATCCAGGTCTTTCAGATTGGTAGCATGATCCTCACCAGGAAAAGCTTCCATTACACTTTTACTGTTAGATGCCAGCTTATGTAGCCTTAGATTAGAACAAGCTAACATGTCTTTTGTTCTTTTTAGCAGGCTGATGGCATCCTCTGACGAAGGAAGGGATTTTAGGCCATCATCCATATAGAAATCGCGGACGACAAACTGTTTAGCGTCCTCACCAAACTCTTTTTGGCCAGCTTCTGCTGCCCTCCTAAGGCAGTAAATAGCTACTGCAGGGGAAGGGCTGTTTCCAAAAACATGCACCTTCATGCGGTAATCTATTATCTCTCCTTCCGGCTCATTGTTCTTAAACCAGAGAAACCGGAGGAAATTGCGATCTGCTGGTTTCACTGTGAAACAATAAAACATTTGCTCTATGTCTACTGAAAAGGCTATTGGTTCCTTCCTGAACCTCAGAAGGACTCCATTGAGGCTATTATTGAGATCAGGCCCAGTTAAGAGTACCTGATTCAAAGAAAGTCCGTTATGTTGTGCACTAGAATCAAAGACAACTCTGATCTGAGATGGTTTTTTAGGATGAAAAACCCCAAATGAAGGTAAATACCAATGCTCCTCCCCTGGTCCCAGAGGGGGTGCCTCTTCTGCGTGCCCGTTTCTGAAGATCTTTTCCATGAAGTCGAAGAACTGCTGTTTCATCTCCGGCTTTCTCCTGAAGTTTTGCTGCAGTGAGTGAAGTCTCTGAAGTGCCTGTGAGCGGTTATCTGGAAGCTGTGGTCGCCATGTCCTGAAAGGAAGAGGAGCGACCCAGTTGTTCTTTTCATCCTGATGTACTTCTTTGTCCATCATTGTCAGGAATTGAATGTCCTCTATTGAAGGAGCGTCCAAATCATCCGTCTTTGTTTGGAGAAAGACATCCGCATCCAGACCTTCACTACTGCTGATGAAGCCTGTGTTGAAAGATGAAGTTGAGATGGGGTCATCACAACAGAATCTCTCTTTAACTGTGTAACTCCTTGGACACGGCTCAAATAGAGAGGGCCGTCCAGTTTTTAAGATGTTGGTGTAACAGGAGGTCACAGCAGATGGCTTATGAACATCTCCTAAACATACATCACCAACAATCACCCATCCCAAGTCCAGTTTTTGGCATATGGTGCATTGTGTGGGCCATTCACTTGTTTCCTAGCTTTGTGCACTCTAAGAATGTCTCTGCCTAATAAGAGTACAATAGGAGTTTGCTCCTCGAGCGCCGGAATGTACTTTGCAAGGTGTTTCAAATGGCTGTGGTTTAATGCCACTTCTGGTGTCGGGATTTCCGACTGATTATTCGGGATCTCGTTGCACTCGATCAACGTTGGTAAAGCGAGCTGAATGCTGCCATCGTTTGCCTCGATCATGAAGCCACAAGCCTGTCTGCCTTGCGTTTCCATAGTTCCTGCACACGTTTTAAGGAAATACGGTGTGGCTGTCCCTGTTATGTTGAACATATCAAAGAATTCAGTCCGTGCAAGTGATCTATTGCTTTGATCATCCAATATTGCATACACCTTCACTGCAGCACCTGGACGACCATCTGGATATACTTTCACCAGACTTATTTTAGAGCAGGAGCGTCCTGAGATTTCCTTGCCACAGATTTTGGTGCAAGTCGTGGAGACGGCTTCTTCCTTTTTCTCACTTGTTCCCTCCCCGCCGTTCTCTGATATCCGAGAATCTGGGGTGTTTACCCACGGTGTAGGTCCTGGGTGTAGAGCTGAGACATGTGTTACACTTCCACACTCTGTACAGACTGTTTCTTCTTCACAGTTTCTTGCCAGATGTACAGCTTTACAACATTTGTAGCATATTCCATATTTCTTGAGAATTGCCTTTCTTTCTTCAATGAGCATTCCTCTGAAGGTTCTACACTTCGAGAGAGGATGAGGTTTGTTGTGTAGCACACAATGTTTGGCTGGATCATCTGTTATGATGGGTCTGCTTGCAGATTGCATACTGGTTTGAACAGAGCCACATTGCTGTCCAGGTAACTTCTTAGTGAAAACCCCTGTCTTCATTACAGCAAGAGGTTTATGACTATCAGCTCTTAAAGCTTGCCTATGGTGCTCAGCTGAATCATTATTCGAAGTCGTTGGCATAAAACAGGGATCAGTTCTCATCTTTGCTTGGTTACAAACAAAGTTCACAAAGAATCTGAATGGAGGGTAGAGAACCCTGTGTTCCTGCTTATACTGAAAGCCTGATGTTAGCCATTTTTCTTGCAAATAGAATGGCAACTTCTGTACAATAGGATTAATTCCACGTGGCGTGTCTAGATAACTCAAACCTAGTAGATCACCGTCCACCTTAGCTGCTTCTATTTCCATTAACAAATCGCCAAGTTCTCTTAGTTTGCGGTGGTCTTTATTAGAGATCTTTGGAAAACTTTCCAACCTTTTGAACAAGGAACTCTCCACCACCTCTGAAACCCCGTAACATTCGTTTAGTCTATCCCAAACTGCCCTGAGGCCATACTCAGGATAATTCACATGCACCGTTCTTAAACGTCGAGCATGTTCTGCTGAGTCTTTCCCTAACCATTTGACTAAAAGGTCAAGCTGTTCATTAGCTGAGAGGTTTAAATCTCTGATTACACTCAAAAAGGATGCTCTCCAGGCTCTAAAGCACTCAGGACGATCATTAAACTGTGTGAGTCCTGTGGAGACTAACTCCCGTCTTGCCATGAATCTGACAAGGTCAGACATGCATTTACTTTCATCCCCATGACTCATTGCGAACCGTCGTTGGGATAGCATGCGTTTTGTGGCAAAGGCAAATGATCATTTCTGTCTCTATAGTCTGTTCTACAGAAGGGAATGTCCGTTGGATTATCCCAAGAACCTGTGTTTTGCTCCATTTTTGGCATACATTTTTCATTTAATCTTGTCTGTAGCGTGAAATGGTGATTGGACCCCACTGTCCTAGTAGGATTCTGAGCCTGCATCATTATGGCAGGTTCTTGTCTTGGCTGAACTGGCAACGCCATTACTGATGCAGAGGTTCTTTGCTCCAAGTTAAATGTAGGCCCATGTTGGGTTGCTCCCTCAACATAGTCTTTTGTGCGTGAATCTGGGTCCTCATTTGGGACATCTATTTCACTGAAGGTCTCACTATGCTGTCCCACAGCTAATTCTAAGACTTCGGCTTTAGCTTCTGCGGCTGCAGCTCTTTTCTGCGAGCGCACCTTTTCCAAGGAAGCCTCTAAATGTGTTTTCTGAAGCTGTGTTGAAGCCTCTAGCTCTGCTTGTTGTAACCTCAGTTTAATTTCTTTCTCGACGAATGCTGCCTCAGCTTTAGCTGCTTCGGCTTCTGCACGTGCCAACGCTACTGCTACTTTGCTAGCTTCCGAACTCGTAGACTGATTAGACGAGCCTGAGATGCGTGATCTTGTTTTAACAGATCCTGATATGGAGCTTTTTCTTGACATGATG